ACAATGGAGAATTGCAATTATCACGAGTCGACATTATAAAACTTCTCATAAACAGCCACAATTAGCGTGCAAAATCTGTCAGCATGCAGTAATGGCGATGAACATAACGACAATGCATTACACACATTATCCGTGTGTATCATAAGTGTAGCTTGTGCATGTGAGTAAATAATTATTAAATAAAGGTAGTGATGATTACTGACCTTTTCTGTTTCTGTCGTTGATTACAAAACCAAACCCGAACAACATTCTTTTTCAAATCTAACTTATCAGCGATCGCAGATATCCGCTCTCCGCTAGGTCGTGGCTGTTGTCTTAAAAGGACTTCATTGAATTTCCCAGCAGAGTTGTTTGTTGATCTAACTAAGTAATTCCAAGCAATTGCTTAGATAAGAGGCTTTAACAGAGCCCATATCACCCGAAAAGTTTTTCATTCAAAGTGGGTTTTAGTTTAAAGCTTCATCAACTCTGCCGAATTCAACTGATTTCTCATTCATTGTGCTTCAATATCTAAATGAATCATATGTCGATGAACGGATCAAAATCAATAAAATAACCATTACAAAGGAAATCGCATAGTCCATTGGCAAAAACAAACCTAAAATAATCTTCCAAAAGGCGTTTTTCAGGTGCTGCGATCGACGTCCTCTTCCGTTTCTTGTCTGTATTCGGTAAAATCCCTTGCGAATCACCTACGGAATCTTTTGTTTTAATCGCTTCTTCTGCCTGAAATCAGCAATGAAGCTCACTGACCTAATCGATCATTAAAAGGCAAACTTCTCGTAATTACTGTGCTGATTAATTCATTTTTGTAACTCATCGATTTTACACCATGCATGAACAACTGTAACCCAATCACAGCTACTATCAATCGTCAGTGTGTTCCCTAACATTTCATTATCTTCAACAAGCTCTAACGTCCCGTCCGCATCAAACATGGTTATTCAACTGAGTCAACCTACTGTCATAATGACCAATTTCGTGGATTAAGAAACGACGAAAATATACGTCAGATAATAAAAATGAGGGNCGAGGATTATAACGATATTGAATGTGAAACTGTTACGAATAACATTGATAATAACACTGATAAAACTGATGTTAAAGATGATGATAAGAGCCAAAATAATCGAAAATTGATACTTTATCAAGCCATGAGTGGAGAATGGGTTTCAACGCGACCATATTATTATGAGATAGCGTAAGACTCTCGAATCGACAAATGGTCGATTGACTCAGCGAACCAACGCCGGGCATCTTCAGGTGTGCCAACGCTTTACCGACATCGGCTTGTGTGACTCCTAGTTTTATTCGCCTTTGCTTAAAATGCTCTGCGAATCGTTCCAATTCACGTGGATCCGTGTCTATCTCTGCAATTCAGTTCTTTTTACTGAAAAAAAATAAACCTCGATGAATAAGCAATTCAACTCTCGAAATCGCATTGATGAGTGATCAGCGATACGAATGCGTTCGATCGAAACAAACAATCAAATTCGACTAATTGCATTCTTCGATGATTTTCGATCGAATTTCTCAATTTTAAGTTCATCTGGGAAAATATTGTTCGGATAGGAAAGAGAATTTGAATGTGATTACCGTTAGCTGGAGTGCTGAGGGGATACCGTGGCATAGAGGCTGCGGTACTTTGCGATGCAACGACAGCTGTTGCGGTTGCGAATGGACTTGTCATTGGATACTGCGGGAATTGTGCTGTGGGGTAGTGCTGCATGGCCATCACTTGCTGAAAGTTTTGATTTATCTTCACTAATATAATTAGAAATACTTTCTTCATCATTAAAACTATCACAATAAAATTACCGTTCTTGCCATAGCGATCACTCACTATCATTCGTCGTTGGATCAAGCAAAATCAAAAGTGAAAAGTGATAATTGATCAAAATGCTGGCATTTTTCGTAAACAATTATTCATTGAAACAGGAATTGAACAAGGAACCTAAACCATCACTATATTATTGAGAGTTGTTTCAATGGAAACCTATTGAATTATGCTGATCACTCTCAACTGATAATTAATGCACGATTAGAGTGAGCGCTTTGTTATGTGGTTACCAAAAAAATATAATGTTACTTTAATCATTACGCAGTAATGGTGATGATA